CCCCCCGTGCCTGGAAAGCTCTTCTGCCCCTTATCTGCCTGCAAACCCTCCTTCACTCACTTGGTCCCAGCTCAGGCTATCCCTGATCCCGTAAACATGGTTACTTCCTTCCTGCCAGTGTCAGCACTGTTCTTAGCACTGTCACAGCCCTTATGATCTTGAAGTCATTTCTCTATGTATCTGTCATTCCCACCATCCCAGGGACTATCTGTGTATCTCCTGTGGCCTGCCCATGATGATTCAATGAAGTGTTTGCTGAAAGATGGAATAATACAGCTTTTTCCAATTCTGTCCTGATGGCAACTATACAGGAGGGATGATTAGACTTCAGGAGGAACTAGTGGAAAAGAAGAACACAGCAGGGCAAATGTGCTGTTCATCTGTCATCCCTCAGCCTGGGAATTTCCCCAAGAGCAAAATCATCAACCACAGAATGTTAACTCCAAGGGGATTTTCAAGATCCAGTCACCCAACCAAATGCCAGAGAGGGCAACTGCTTTGCCCAAGGTCACACAGCTGGTTAGAGGCAGGGCTGGGACTTGATTCCAAGTAGCTCTGGAAAAAGTTTGGGCAGATGGCTACCTCACCTCCTGGACCTCTTCCCTTCCTACCCATTTTAACTCCCTAAAGGAAGTCTCTTATGTCCTAACATGGTCAAAGGGACCATGTGGGCTCAGTCACAGCTCTTCAAACACCTGCTGGGAGCTTGGCTGGCTGGAGTTGCCAAATGGAGGAGGAGATCCAATTATCTCCATTTTCCAGATTGGCAAACAGAGGCAGTGAGACTCTGTGTTACACTGCTAGCTAATCTGACACTAAGCACTGTGCTCTTCCTGTAGAAGGACCTGAAAAGCCAAAAATCCCACCGGGGCAGAGTCATTATTTACAATAATCATGACGACTGGCCTCCTAATGCTTGGGGGAATCCCCTCACTCCCACCAGTTCCTCTTTAAATCGAGCCTCTATCCCTCTTGCACAGGATGTCTGACTTAGGAAAGAACCTGTTCACCCACCCTCGCACCCCAACCAAGCCTACTGTAGAGACCACGGCAGAGTCATAACCTTTGACGGGGAAACCACCCCTCCCTCTGTACCAGGTACCTGACAGTGTCACTGCTCACATCAACCCTGAAGTTGGTACGACGTCCACATTCTGAGATGGGGAAATTGAGGGTCCCTGATAAGGCATTACTAATCCATGGTCAAAGCCAGTAAATGAGTAGGTTGGGTATCAAACCTAGGTCTTTCTGACTCTAGTGCCCGCGCTTTCCATTTGGCCATGCCAGACTCTCCCAGCCGGCAGGTAAACCACCCGAAGACTTTTACTGGCTGGGCTACCTCGGGAAAGTAACTTAACCTCTCTGAACTCCCCCAAGGTCAGAATCTTTGCTTTCGGGGGAGAAAGTGATATGCAAACGAGACGCAAATAAAATGCAAACCCGCGGGCGCCGGCGCAGTCCTTTACCGGAGCCCGGGGCTTTCTAATGCGGAGGGCGCGCCCCCGGGGCCGGCGAAGCGCCCGGCCAGCGAGCAGAAGCGAAACCTCAACACTCTTCAGCCTCCCCCGCTCAGTTCCGGGAACCAGCAAGCAAGGTTTCGTGGAAATGCGATCGGCGGCAGCCGCCTCGGATCCCGGGACCACCCAGACCACAGCCCACAGTCCCGGGCCGGGAGGTGCGGGGGCCGGCGCGGTCGGGCCCGAGCAGCAGCGCGATGCGCGCTTCCGCCCCGCTCCGCTCCGGCGGCGGCCGCGGCGGCCCCACAATCCCCTTCTGGCTCCGGGGACGGGCGGGGCGGGGCGGGGCGGGCCGAGCGGGCGGAAATAATTTTCTGTTTGGTCCTCTCTGCCCCAGTCCCTTAGCCGCGGGACGCGCAAGGCGGGCGAGCGTGCCGGAGGCGGGAAGCGGGAGCGGAAAGGCGCTGCCCTGGCACGCTTAGAGGGACGGAGAGGGGACGAGCAGGGGTTGAGCGCCTACTGTGTGCCCTAGCGCTTTACAAAAGGACTTTCGTTAGATCTTCACTGCAGCCCTTGCTGGAGGGGGTTAACGCCCCATTTAAGGGGACAAGCTGAGCCTCTGAGAGGTGAAGTCACCCGCCGAAAACTGCACAGCCAGGATCAGCCTGACACCCCAGATCAGTGCTCCGTTACGCCAAAGAGAGAGCGATGAACTTGAACCACTTATTGGCCGAGTCCTGCTCTTGCTTGTTTTCCGTGGATCGGCACACAGTAGGTGCTCAGGAAGATGTTGGAAGATGGAGAAGGAGCTTGACAGCTCAGCCCTGGGAGTACCCCTGCGAATCCAGCCCAGCCCGCGGGGCACCGGGTTTCCCCAGACCTCGGAAGGGAACACTTGCGATGGGCGGACATCCCAGTTCGACGCAGGCATTCAGCGAACACGTGGTGGCGGAGCCCCAGCCCTAGCGGAGGACAGACTTGGTTCAAATCCCCGCTCTGCCGGTTTCAGACAGTGTAGCTTTGGGCAAGTCACTTCACTTGCCCAGACCTGAGTTGCTCCATCAATAAAATGGAGGATATTAACATACACCACAAAGGGTTGTGAGTGGCTTAAACGAAACAATGTTCCTAGTACGCTTAACTAAACGCACAGGTATAGCTACCCGTCCATCCCAGAAGCTTCGGGCGGTACACCTGTACGCGGTGAGAACCCGAACAAAAGTTCCTCTGCCCCAGTCAGCAAGTCGCCCACCCCTGGACGTAGGGACCGACGGGTCTTCGAGTGACCCTCGTCCAGCGAAACCCGAAACTACGGTCGGTCACCTCGGCCAAGGTCGGTCGCGAAAGCAAATATTCCAAAACTGGCGCATGGCTAGGGCTGACATGTTTGCGTTTAATTTCCTTGATGTTTTACTCTTGTCAGTAAAGGTTATTCGTTAGAAACTCGTAAGTGAGACTTCTCATCTGTGTCTTGTTTAACTTTTCGTATGAGCGAAGTTCACAAAGCAGACCAAGTTGCCGGCGCGTGGCAGTCCTTACGGGGATCCCGGCTCTCGGACCGGCCCCCAGCAATACCCTGCTTCTCGGACCCCTACCCCAGGCACGGAAGCGGCAGAGACAGGTCTCCCCCCCCCCCGGCCCAGCCAGTTTATACAGAGCCTCCACGACCTGGCGGCCCTCCGGATTCTTGTGTCCCTACAGGAGCAAGGGGAGTTGGGGACTGCAGCCTAGAGCTTAGCTTCCCCGACCTCCCCGAACTCCAGTCTCGTCGGGATTAAGGGAGTAAATCCCTGATGCCACAGACCAGGTCAAGGACAAGTTCTCCCCCGCCCTACTCCCCCCTCCTGGGTGGGAATTCACCCCCCTTCCCGGATGAAAGGTACTAAATAGACGCGAAGGGAGGGGTGGTGGCGGGCCCCGGCCCCTTGATGTTCCGGTTGAACAGGTGCTGGTGAAAAGGAGGCGGACCCAGCGGAAGAGTCGGCCAGGGGGGCCTGCGCCGAAGTGGGGGTAGCCTCTTCCACGCCTCAGTCCTTCGGCCGGTTTTCCCCCCTCCTCTCGGTCAGCCCCTCCCCCGCAGGAAGCGTTCCCGGCCCCGACGCCTTTGAAGTGTCGCTGAAGCCCCCAGGGCTGCTACTCCCCTCCGCCACCCCATCTTACGCTGCGGGAGTGTGACCTTTGGTCCCTGCGGGTGTCCACCCCCCTTTAGGAAGTAGGGGGGTCAGGTTTCGTCCCCCTTGCCCACACCGGCCTTGGGGATGAAGCCTTCGGGTTGACGACGCCACTTCACTTCTTCCCCAGACCCAATTTCAGGGACTTTAATACTTTGGGGTGCTGTGTGTGAGTCTATGTTTTGTGTTTGTGTACATGTATCGATCTCAAGTGTAAATGTGTTGTTCGTGAGCACTTCCGCAGTAGTGGCTCTCTAACTCGCGTGGGTCTCTAAGCGCGCCTGAATGGCTGGACCTGGGGTGTGCCCCCCTGGGAGGGTAGGGTAGTGTGGCTGGATGAAGCTAAGAGTGAGTCTGTGTGTCTGTGGGTGCCTCGGCGTGCTTCTGAGGGGTCTGAGTCCCTGTGCGTGCGTGTGTGCCTGTGAGCTGGACCGGAAGCTCCTCGAGGGCAGGAACACCCGTTTGTTCACTGCTCTGTCTCAACGACTGCACATAGTAAGCATTCAATAAATATTTGTTGAATGAACAAATGTCTGCGTGTAACACTGTCTACCCTCCAGACAGGCCTCCGACGAGCGGCCACCCAAAAAGACCCCTGCACACCGAGGGGTGAGCAGCCCACGTCGCTCCCGTTGCTTCTAGCTCCCCTTCCCCTGATCTCCACCTCCAAGTTTCCTTGGGGTTGAAGAACAGTCGCAGAGAGACGAAGACCTGGGCGGAAGGGGCTGGCGAATCGGAGACCCGGGGCCGAGACGGAAGGGCAGGCAGATAGAGGGCTTAGGAGCGCCAACCGAGAGCCATAGAAAGAAAAAGGAAGAGGGAGAATGAGCGCGGAGCGAGCGAGAGAAAAGCTCCCTACCAAGCCAGGCTTTGTTCCCTGAACCTAAGACTTTACCCGGCGGCGGGCGGCGGGCGGGCCGGGAGCGAGCGAGCGGAGGCGCGCGGCCATGGCTGCCGCGGCCGGGCAGGGGGGCCGGGGAGGCGGCGCGTGAGCGGGCGGCGCGGGGCGGGCGGGCGCCCGCGATGTGCCACTCGGCACCACCC